TAACGAATTAAATTCAACAATCGGGGCCTATAGAAAAATATACATGTATATGAATTCGATATAACGATTTATCGAATTCGTTTTAAGGAATTTAATTCGTTATAACAAATTAAGGAATTCGTTTTAACGAATTTAATTGTTATAACAAGTTTTAGAATTCGTTATAGCAACTTTAATTCGTTATAACTAATTTTTGAATTCGTTATAACGAATTCAACAAATTTGTTATAACAGATTAAATTCGTAATAACGAATTCAGAGAAATTGTTATAACGAATTAAATTCTTTATAACAAATTCGACAATTCGTTATATCGAATTCAAAATATTTTTGATTGGTCCTATATGGGCCTTCCGTAAGTAAAGAACTTAGTATAAAAAAAATACTTATATATTAGAGGCCAATAGGCCACATGTTCAAATGAGCATTTTATGCTCGATTTGACTAATGCATGTATATATTCTGCGTAAATTATAGAATTATTGTGGATTCTTTTCTGGTTACACAAATAAGAAGGATACTGCATTTAGAGGCAAATACCTTAATGCGGGTAATACTGTCTTATGACAGTCTACAATGTAGTTACAACTGCATTTTCGAAGAACTTGGTTTTATTTAAACATCTGGACACCTATTCACAAAAAATCGTAAGTTTACGACTACGGCTTGAACTTACGATAATCCTAAGATTTAAGTTACGAGCTATTCATGAAAGTGGTCGTAAGATCGACACATTGTCGTAAGTGAAAAACGACCGTAAGATTTTCTCTTCCCTAGTTACCGACAACTGCTCATGCGCAGATGAAGTAATTAATGCGGGAAACCCGATGAGGCAATCTTGAACGCAAACGAATTAACGTCGCCAATATACCATGATTACGGGTTGTCTCAGTTCTGATTCATTCGTATATATTATTATATTTTATGCAATATTGTTTGTTAACAATAAGAATATTTTGAAAATCAACATTAACGTTTTTGGTAAATTCACTACAGCAAGACTGATATTATAATAACATGAAAATCAATATTAACGTTTTTGTTCACTGCAGCAAGGGTGATTTATAAGTTGTAGGTAAACAATAATAGCTGCAAAGTTCGATACTTCCATTCAGTTATATCTTGGAAATCATTCATATGATCACTGCTCAAATATATTAACATTGATTAATGATTCAAACTATAGCAGCATTTCTTATACCGCATGACATGGAACATCAAAAACTCAACATGCTCAATATTCAAAACTTAATAACAGCAAATTATGTGTTTAACTTAGAACTATAGAAATATTCTTCAAGGAATATATAAAAAAAAAAAAAAGTAAAATTGTTTTTCTTTTGAAAAAAAATATGAAGTTTGAGAGGATTTAGTAACGTTCTTGTGTGTGTTTGTATGTGTGTGTGTTTGGGGGGGGGGGTTAAGTAGGTGAGTGAGTGAGTGCATAACGGAAGTTAAGTAAGTAATAAATTCATATCAGGATCGATGTGCTCTTTTGCGAGGGATGCCATGCTATACGGTACCCTTGTTAAATTAAATATTAATTAAAAAATTAATTTAAATTTTTAGCGTCATACTGAGAAATCAAGTCTGGAATACGTACACTTAAAACAATAAATTGAATCAAACCGCAGTTTTTTAAAAAAAAAAAAAAAAAAAAAAAAAAAACGCTTAATGATATAATCAGAGGTGTGAAGTCATGTTGTTTTTTTTTTAGAGAAAAAGAACATGTTAAACATTAATAAAAGGCCAATTTTGGCTAGAAAATGTTCAATATTTATTCAAAGGCCTCTTTTCTAGATCTAGCAATTAGAAAATTTTTAATAAATTCGAGATTTGATAAACTCGATCTGAAATGTAATCAATATTCGCAATCAGACAGTAATTAAGAAAAATCTTATACCTGTTCAAATAGCAGAAATTTTAGCGAGGATTCAATTTGGGCATATTACGTGAAGTTGTTGAGATCGTTAACATTAAATATCGCTAACAGTTCATTCAATATTGGAGGTTACTCTTTTCTTTCTATGTATTTCAAAATCGCTAAAATTACCTCTCGCAAAATTAAGGAAAAATCACTAAATTTGCATCTCGCTACAGATTCCATTCATACAGTCTAATGCATGGTGAAATTTTGTCCGATTCATAGTGATTGAAAATGGGTCACTCTTAAAAATGTCTGTTTCCAAGACTTAGTAGAGCCCCAGTAAGTATGTCTTGGACAATAATTTACATTTCAAAGTCTTATTTTATTTCACTTCCACAGGGAATTCTGTATGGATTCAGTATTTCTTAATGTTGTCCGATCCACCATAAGTATTTCAAATGAGATTCAAGAGATTTACAGATCTTGTATGGATATATATAGAATACTTGAATCTGACTATCTGAGGTACCCGTGGAGACCGGCGTCAAACTTGATTGTATCCACCAGGGACGGATAATTTTAATAGGCACAGAGGGCGCAGCCGATTGAAAAAAATAATTAAGATGTATTCAAAGTCAGTTGACCACCAGAAATTATTGAAGGCATCATAAAATAAAAAGTTGAATAAAACAAAAATGAAAATAAAATTCGAATGTATATTGTTCAAATTTGCTGAGAAAGGACAGAAAATACATGTGATTAAAATTAATGTAGTTCGAATAAAAAAAATTTTTTTGGTTCAATTTGAAACAAAATTGAAGTAATTTTACAAACGATATTGACTGTATAATGCTTGTATCGACAAAGTTTATTCTATGGTACAAAATTGTTTTTCTTGACTTTTTTAAAAAAACAAGTACATTGTTTTCCTAGTAGCGAATATTTGTCAGCGTCGTATATTTTTTTTAATAAAAATATTCTTGAAAAACATAGTGACGGGTTGAAAAATTTCTTTTTAAGTAAATACAATAAAAATATAAATATCATACCCCTTTTTCAGACTGGAATTCATGAAAATTGGCCCCAGGACAGGTTGCCTTAATGTGTAGTATCCCCCCTCCCCCCGCCTTTTTTTTTTTTTAGAGAGAATTGTCGTTTTCATATAAGGCCATCGATTAACCCCTGCTTTTATAATATTTAGTTTTGGCAAATTACTTTCTTAACTTTAGTTTCAAAAAATTATTTTGTTGAAAAGAGAATATAATCTCTCCCCCCCCCCCCCCTTAAATTTTTTTTAATAAATTTTTATTCATGTCAATTTTTTGCAGGCATTTTGTTTTCTTTTTCTTTTCTTTCTTTCTTTCTTTTTGCATTGTCAATATATCTTTACGGGGGTGACACTCTCTTTTGACTTCCTCTCTTGGTAAACGGTACCATTTCTCCGTCGGTCAGTGATTCAAACAGATCTGTGCCGACCCAAAATATTTTTTTCTGCTCCGTTTTGATTTTTTTTTACGATAAAGATAACGTGGTGGCCATTTTTATTTTTAGAGTTGATACCATGTACGTATTTATAGACTTACGTCAACTAAAGACTAGACGTAAACTTACGACTGTTTTTGACGTAACGTCAAACGTACGATTTTTTGTAAATAACCAAAATCTTAAGAAAAAAACTTACGACAATCTTACGACTACGACTGATCGTAAGATATTTTGTGAATAGATGTCCTGGTAATCAAACTATACTAACAGTTCCTTTTAAAAGAATGGATTTCTTCAAAATCAAGTTACAATTTTAAGTACTTTTAACATTCCAGTCAATGGAGGTGAATTTGATTTACCGTACCTATAGTGGATTCCAAAACTTCATAAAATCCTTACAGAGAGATATATATTGCAGGATCTATTAAATGTTCTACCAAGCCCCTGTCTTTACTCCTTACAAAAATATTAAGTGCTGTGACGCACTGTGCTACAATATATTCAAGAAGTGGCATAAATCAAATGTAGATTTTGAAGAACTTCGAAGAATTTTTGGAAAATTTAAACAATCACAAAATTTTGCAAAAATCAATGGCATTAACTTGACAACGCTTGCTAACGTTTTCTCTTCATAAATTTAAGACCAGGCTTTTTGACATCATAAACAACTGCCTCTTTAATAAAATTGGAATTCGCAAATTTTCATATCTTGTGATTCATCATCTACAAAATTTTTTTTAAAAAATAACCATTCTGATTTTACACACAAGAACTCTGTGATATTAAAAAGATACTGGAATCCCTCACTGAAAATATTCTTTGGAGACTAGGTGTTCCAATGATTTCTTTGAATCCAGATGCATGGACACTAATTCGGCCCCTTTGTTAGTCGACCTGCTTTTATATTCTTATAAAGCAGAATTTATTCAAAAAGCTTCTTCACGAGAAGAAAACTTAAATTGCACCTGTATAAAGATGTCAATATATCGACGACGTTTTATCAATAAACAGTGGTTATCATAGAGTCATACACAGATACGCTTCATACCTCAACGTTTTACCGACTTTAGACGTTAATGGCCGACTAACATCTAAACCATTGAGTAAACGATAAACAGAATGATTTCAGCCTCTCCGTCATCTCTCCCTATTTGTGCAGCAATATATTCCACTATCACCTGCAAATTGCGTCAATCTAATATAAACTGGACTAGTATTTTCGCTCCTTTACTATATGCTTCAAACAATTGTCAGGCCGTCGTATTTATGCTAAGGAATACATATTACTCCGTTTATCACTGGCTGATAAATACAGAGGGCTCATGGCGTGTGTGGCCGGTAGACAGGGGATGCTCATTCCTCCTGGGCACCTGATCCCACCTCTGTGTTTTGAGGGGTCTGTGCTTTTTGCCCTGTTCACGAATCGTTTTCTTCTTGGTAATAGATTAAGGTCACATGGTCAATATTATTGAAACAGCTACAACTCATTTAAATGATGCAGTGCAGTGTATCCGTTTTTAAACTTAAAGAACACATTCACTGCATAGATGACCAGTGGTAAGATGACACACAAAGATATGGGGTCATTCATTCGAAAGACGAGGTCAAAATGATATTTTCATATGGAAAAACTTTAATGGGATACAAATTTGAACATGCAGCTTTTTTATTCACTATACAATTAAAATGCCCATAAATTCTAAGCCACTTGCTCAAATGTGAAGGTTAAAAGGTCAACATTATCGATAAAATAAACATAGTATATTACATGGACGAAATTGTTAACATTCTACATGTAGTTTTAAGTAAAAGGGTGAAAATAAGGAACCGTGATAAATCTCCTGAATCCAGTGAGATTTCTTCTTCTATCTATCTATGCAGTAAAATTTAAAAAAATCATTGTAAAATATAAGTCTCTTATCTAATAATGTGTCTTATAAAGTTATTTTAAAAACATTTTATAACGCACTTTCAATAATAAGGGAAAAATCCGTAGACAATTAAGTGTGTAAATAATTGTCTATCAAATATAGGATGAAAAACGTCAGTCAGCATTTATTTTGACTTAATGATAGGTTGTATTTGCTGACAAGGTCACTGTATCGACCATGAAATGATGACAATTAATTTCATAAATTCTAAAAAGTATCACCAATGATATGAAAATATATATCAAGATGTTTTGATTTTCAAGTGACCCTGAGTAATTGTAAGCAAGTTATTTATCCACCCTCGAATTGTCTCCTGCGTGTATTCTGTACAATAATATGCGTGAAAACTGTTTGCCAGACAGTACAATTAAATGTCTTGAATCAATCGAGAAAATCATTTCCTGAACCTCCCCGAGTGCTTTGGTACTGAAGATCTCTGAAGCAGTAGTACTGTTCCATATTTTAATTTTGTTGTTTTCACATGCTGACGCTAACCAACGACAGTCCGTCGAAAATACCACATGCCTAACCTAAAACATTAAGATAATATTGAAGTAAAATGATACGGAGATATATGCTTTTTTCAAGTGAAAACATGTATCAAAATTTTTCAAGAGCATTTTTTTTTGTAAATAACATAATGATATCTGATAATTAAATTACAGGTGCAGTGATTAGCTTTCATACTGGAATGAACACTGTTGTTAAATTATTGTATAATCCATAAACAATCAAGTTTTATTGTTGTCACAAAATTGATAGACATTATATTCGACGTTATACATACTGGTGCTGCATGTTTGGTGATAGGTAACTTTTCCCCAATTGGATAAGCTGTTGTAACATCAAAAATAAAAACGTAACCATTTTTCATTCCTAAAGCCATTGTTCGCCCATCTTTGCTTTGCGCAAGTGCTTTACTTTGTCCTTTGAAATCTTTAAAATTCTCAAACCAGTTACTTTTATTTGATGACTGTTCTTTGTCTTTTGCTCTTCTGCGGCATTTTCCTACATGAGAAACATTGCTTATTACCACTCCAGATTTGGAATGTATATTCACGCTAACTTCAACAATTGGAACTTGATAAACTTTAACAATTTTAAAATTCAGTACCATATGATAATTACGTAATTGTCATGAAGTTACTCTTTTTCTACTTAATTTCCTTTTACCTTTTTCAAAATAAAATTTAAAAATTTGGTGCATTCTGTATTTGCAATCAGCTGACATTGTTTACAGATAATTCTTTTATACACTGTATATGTAATTGCCATAGAATACCTGTTGGAATGTCCCAAAACCTGACCCAATCTTTGTTGTTGATTATCATTGAATTTCCCATATGAGGGCATATGACTTCTCCTAAGTGAGGAACAGGACTAAAATTTCTCACACAAGGCATGAGTCCTCCAGTTTCCTGCTGTAAATCAACAGCTACAAATTTGTTTGGATGATATTGTGGGGAAAAAGACCTTTTTTCTGATGAGGCTTTTATATTTTCCAACTCCTCTGGAACAACTTTTAGCCGAATACAAAGGTACCTTTCGCTCTGACTCAGGCAAATGTCCACAGTTTCAAACTTTATAACGGACTGAAGAGGAAATGACTTTCGAATCGTCTTTTGTTTCAAGTCCAAAACTGACACAAGGAGATATTTACCTTTCATTCCAAGCGTATATAATGTCATTGAGTTTGTTCCTTTTACAATGTCTAGAACATCTATTGGTAATTCAAAATCAGCACTTTCTGAATTCTGCAGGTTAAAGACCCTGAGTTCCCTGTTTTCACTAAGAACACAACACATTTCTTTTAAACACAAGATTTTCCTCGGCTTCATGTCGGTCGGGAATTCTTTCACAAAGCCTCCCCCATCAATTGTCCAGATTTTCAACAAACCGTTTCCATCTATGGTAATAAACTTGTCATCGTCAAAATGCAAAGCAATACAAGTGACTGAAGTGTGATCCAGTAACCGCTTAGCAGAGGAAATAAGTTTCTTTTCTTGTCCCTTCGGTAGACTCTCAAGTAAGTATTTCAAAGACCAAACCAACATTTTGTTCTTCCCGTGAGAAATCAGAAAATCGTCCAGCATGACTAGTTGTTGAACCTTGCCCTCATGGGCTTTAACACTAGCACAAGGGTTACCAGTCACACTATCATACAATGAAATGGTTCCGTCTTCTTCTCCTACAATCAAAACAAAGGATCCCCCACAAAGTGTAGCACAGGTCACTGGATTACTGACTGTTACCCTGAACAATGATTTTCTTTTTTCCAGATCAAGAGCAACAACAACGTTACATTCATCACCCCAACAACAAACTAAAGATGTCGATTCTGAACACGAAATGTACTTCAATCGATCTTGGATATCAATCGGTGTCCTGGTTTTTCCTTTGGAGAAATCGACACTTTCTATTGTACAGGTTGTCTCTCCTTTGTTACCCAAGACACTAAATAAGCATTCTGCTTTAGATAATCCCCAGCAGTTATTGCACAGCTGATAATCAAAATAGTATCGTTTTGGATATTTTGTCTCGTTGCTATAAACCAGAAGTTCACTGCCATTATGTGTTGCAAGTAGTACCAAAAGATGTTCGGTTTCTGTGCTGATCATATCTAGTACATCTGCTGTTTTGTCACTTAAAGACCATCTATTTATCTCTTCCAAGTTAACGATCTTCAGTTCTATAATGACTCCATTTTCAAATAGCACTGCCAAATAATTTGTATTTGCACTGATCCTTTTGCAAACCATACCCTGCTTGGAACCCCCTGTGCATAGATGTTGAAACTGTCTTTCAATTTGACATTTTTCTATCAAATTAAGACATGTCACAGAACCTGGTGAAGTATAGATTACATACTGACCATCACTGTCAACAATGGGTTGATGTTCTTCTCTTTTGATAAAGGGAACATCAACATCCATGAGTTCCTCAGCGTTTTCGAAATAAACTTTGTATGACGAATTAGCAACATCCTCATTTTGACTTGGTGAATCTTTCACCAAAACTGTCCCTTGACTAAAGGATACAATGTTGTCAATCCCAGTGAAGGTACTAGTGATAGCTTCTGAAAGATCTTTTCTAGGAGCCTGTCCTGGATGAAGTGGAATCAAAGTAGACGTACTTTGATTTTTCAGAAAATCTTCAGCCTTACTAAGAAGTTTTTGCAGAGAAATGTCTGCAGTATCAACAGAAACGTATTCCAGAAGACTGATTGCCAATCTCTTTGGTGAGATTACGTCGTTTGTTAATGAAACAAAGAAGTCCCTCAACTTTTTCAATTCCTGATCTTCTTGAAATTGAAGAAATTCATTCAGTTCACTAACAAAAACATCTGCTGAGAAGGCCGCTAATTTGTTGTAGATGAAATTAAAATTGCAGAAGCATTTATCTTTTGCAGTTCGCAATGACATAGAGGTTCTTGCATGAATAATATGATATGGAAGACAAAATAGCATTCTTTTGTTATGTTCTGATACAGGCTGCCCAGTCACTTGTCTGTCTGCATTTGAAATGGTCAATTTTCTCCTGGTTAATGTTATATCTCGTTTCACAGACGTCTCGCACATAAAAATTTCAGCTAAATTCCTTTGCAATACTTCCCCTTGTGCTCCTGATGAGTATTTGGCTTCTGCACTCTCAGTAAACTGTCTGTGATACCAGTTCATGGTGTATTTGTCTTGCGAGAGTCTTTCCACAAGGTATTCTCTAATATCGTATTTGATCCGAGCAACCAAAACAGGTGGTATTCTTACAATACCAGCTATTGGTGGATTGTGATAACGATAAACGTCATTTAAAGCTTCGTCATCACAGGATAAAACATCCTCCAACTCATTCTCTGAGATACCGTCTCTTACTATGGTGATGTAACCTAGCGCATGACCAGTGACAACGGGTCCAAATTTCACTTCAAGATTGTCAAAGAGCTTGTTTATTGCACCCTGAACTGTTTCTTGCAAAATCAAATGATGCTCTTCGGTGTATGATTTCCATTTCATTGCTTCGTCTACGCTTAATTTCAAGAAGAGGGGACTTGGGCATTTCAAAAATGCATTCATCAATACCTTTTCTTGGGTATGTAAAAGCGATCGATTCTGAAGTAATAGGTATTTCTCCATCATTTCTTTTCCTGTTTGAAGTGGAAGATCACTTATTTCTAAGTAATAGTTTGAATCTGGAGACAAAGCTCTTATACTCTCTAGAATCCCAAACTCATTTGGAAGTGTGGATATAATGATCTTTATATTCGGTGGTAGCGTCATTGGTAGCCACTTCATACTATGTGCATCGTATTCCCTTGACAGTTGATCTATGGAATCCAGCAGAATAATTACCGGCTTTTTCAAAGTGTTTGCAACCCTTCTGATGAACCGTGGGAAGTACTCTAACAAATTTTTCATTTTTTGGTAACCAATAGGTTCCATGCGTATCCCTGATACATCGGAAAGTTGTTTTACCAAATTTACCAATACATCATAGACATTCAGACAAAGTCCAGACGTTCCCAAAAATCGAATAATCCCCACAAAGTTGTCATCTTTTAGCCAGGTGCGCAAGTTTTTCATTATCATAGCCATTACTGATGTTTTGCCATTTCCAGATGGGGCGTGAACAACAAAGGGTTTGTTCATGCTGGTATTTAAAATGTAGTTTTTCGCTGTGTTCAAAATGGTTTCCTGTCCACAAAATGTTTTGCATTTTGTTTCGCAAAAATGAAGGTGGTGAAGAATTTCTGGAAACTGGCTCCGGAATTCTCTGCGGCGAATTTGTGATTTTCTTTTGTCAAGAGCATTATCAATCATTTGACTAAAATCATCGTAAAAATCCTTACAAAATTTCTTCAAGTACTCTTCATGTTCTTTACATATTTCTGGACCTATTCCTTGTGTATTCCAATCAATCTTATAAGTGTGACTGTGTCTAAGTTTTGTTTTTGTTTCCAATTTTTTCTTGAGTTCGTTTTGTAGCTTTCGTACTTCTGAGTTAACATTATTCTACAAAATGCACAAAAGAGATCTTATGATAAATAACCAAGAGAAAATGTTGAACAAAGACATATTTCGTTTCTTGAAAATTTAGGTAATGCAAAGGTTAAGGGTAAGAAAATTAGTTTTGCAGTAAAAATGTATCAATTTATGGTTGTTGTCTTTTTTGATTTTTCATAGACAAACCTATAGAATTTTAATTTGGTTTTTATTTTCTTTAAACTTCGTATGTTGCCATTGAGACAAGTTAAAAGACAGCTGTAGATGTTATACTGAAGAAGACAAAGTTCGCTTACAAATTTTAAAAGTACTTAAAAAATCTTCAATTTAGAATAAAAAGAGCTGGAAATATTAGTTTTGTTTGGTGTTGGAGAAATGCACCAGTTATAGCAGCACAAGTGAAATTGAGCAATGAGTCAAATTGTAACACTGAGACTTACAGAAACGAGCACTATGCTAGTGCAAGCCTCTATCAAACGGGGATGATTTAAAACTCTTGTAAGGAAAAATACCGAAATTCCACAATATTTTCAATATTGCATCTATATAAATAAATCTATATTAAAAAAAGTTATGTAAAATATGGGTTGTCCAGTCATAATAAATTAAGAAACTTAAAACATAATATGTTCAGTATCCTTTTTTGATGTGTAAAATGCAGAAAATCTTTGATTCATCACTTCAACGTTTAAAACTTCTCTCTACTTTAATTCTAAACTTAAAAATTAAGTACCTTCCCATTTTCTTTGACAGTGTCTATAAAGCGCATCGTCAAAGTGTCATCGAAGTCACTGAAGCCTGTAATTTCACGACAGAAGACTGCTGTTTGTGATGCTGGATCTTCAGACGACAGAATGCCCTTTTGGATTTCTATCTCTGTGACTAAAGAAGATAACAATATCTTTACCATGGTGCAAACATATCAAAAAATTGAAAACAAGATCTAGAATACAGGAGACTTGTGGGGTTCAACACTCCCATGAGACACTTTCCTACTCTGACAAATGAACAAGTCTCTGGACCCCTTTACTTATTGATGATCTGAAGTATTATCATGAAGTTTTCAACAATTCTGCTACAAACAATGTTGAATGATACCATGAAATATATGAAGATAACGAACAGTATTCAAGTTCAAAATTCCATTAAACAATACAAATTTTGGAGGAGAGCAAACACGGATCTCTAAAATATCAGAGGTGGGATCAGGTGCCATGGAGAAGCGAGCATCCACTGCCGACAGGTCACACCCGCCGTGTGCTCCTTGTTATGATCGGGAAATAACGGAAAAATCCGTCGACAATTCAGTGTGTAAATAATGGACAAATAATTAGTATGAAAAACGTCAGTCAGCATTTGACTTAATGATAAATTGTATTTGCTGACAAGGTCATTGTATCAACCATAGAACTTACGAAATGACAACTTTAAACGAGACTGTTGATATTCTTGTTTCATCAACTTGTTTGTCAATAATTTACCTCGTTTTAGAAATTGTTCATACGTAGAGCATGCTCTTGTGTATCGAATCAACTGAGAGATATAAACCCCATATGCAGGTGATGGAGGTATATTGCTGCATAAGTAAGGGAAGTTGATGATTGAAAAGTTAAAGTTGTCACATTTATCATAAAGCTTGGTTGTTAGATTACCATTAACGTCTTTTTCTAGTGAAATATCCAAATATGAAACAGATGTGTCACACTCTGTGGTATCTTTTATTTCAAGCTCACTGGGACATATCATATCGACATAAGAATGGAAATAATCATTGTTAACTGACAATACGTCGTTGATATATCTTAATGTCGAGTTGAAAGCCACAGCAAGTGCTTTCTTCTTTTCATGTATAAGATTTTGAACAAATTCTGCTTCATATGAATACAAATATAGGTCTGCTAATAATGGGGCGCAATTGGTACCCATGGGAATTCCAATAGATTGTTGGAAGACCTGGTCTCCAAAAACCACACAGAAATTGTCAATCAGAAACTCAAACATCTTTTTAATATCAACTTCAGAGTACTTGTGTGTACAATCAGAATATTTTTTAACAAAATAATTTAACAAATGACCAATGACAAGCTAAGTAAATTTAAGAGTTTCACTTTTATTGAAAAAGCAGCTGCCAATGATATCAAAAAGCCTGGACTTTAATTTATAGTGGGGAACCATACAATGTGGCAATTAAGGTTTACAATATAGGAAAGTGTAAAATCCTTACCCTGACCCATGGATATTCATGTAAACAAATTTGCATTTGCATAACTTATGGTGCTTGCATATAAATTTGTCCAAATAATGTAAACTACTGTTCTTAAGAAGATTTCAAAAGATTTATTTTTGCTTTACTTTAAATTCCCACATGAGAACATGACCTCTTACTGTGACTCTATCGCTGCCCCCATGGGTCATGATATTTTAACTTAAATTGCAAATTGCTAAATATGCAGATGCTTGCATAAATGTAGTAACTTCATCGAATGTCAAACTGTTATTCATGAATAGAAGTAAATCTTTGACCCCCTCCCCCCCCTTTTTTTTTATATCCAGCCTAGTCTCATAGACCTTTATTTCAAACAATAAAATTTATAACAGATGATTAAAGAAGACAGAAATATCCTCAAGTTAGTATTTGTCTCTGAACTTATTTTCCTTTGTACCCAGGTAACTAACAAAGATAAACAACACGTGGTCTATGACCTCTTATGTAAAATTTTCATGCAATAAATTCCTTACTACAGGATGCCACCAATCATATTCTAAAAGATAAACTAGCAACTGTAACAGGAATTTTAAAATTAGGATTTTTATGATGCTTTTCAACCTCCCCCCCCCCACCCCCAATTGGTCCAAAGGATAAAGATGAAAATTTTGCAACCCTATCTACAGGACATCATCAATCATATTTTGAAATATAATTTGGCTTCGGGCTTCTTTGTAAAATAATTTTTCTGGGAACCACCTTTTCAAAGAAAAAAGTTGTTTTTGATCCCCTATTGGCCCAAGGGGAAAAAATGAAAATTCTCAAACCTTATCATACATCTACGGAAGCCCATTTAGGACCTATTAAGAATATTTTTGAATTCGATATAACACAAAATTGAATTTGTTATATAACAAATTTAATTCGTTATAACAGTTTATTTGAATTCGTTATAACCAATTTAATCTGTTAAAACAAATTTGTTGAATTCATTATAACAAATTCCAAAATTGGTTATAACGAATTAAATTCGTTTAAACAAATTCTAAAATTTGTTATAACAAATTAAATTCGTTTAAACGAATTCTTAAATTTGTTATAACAAATTAAATTCGTTTGAACGAATTCTAAAATTTGTTACAACGAATTAAATTCGTTTAATCAAATTCAACAATCAGGGCCTGTAGAAAAATATATATGAATTCGATATAACGATTTGTCAAATTCGTTCTTACAAATTTAATTCGTTATAACAAATTAAAGAATTCATTTTAACGAATTTAATTCGTTATAACAAGTTTTAGAATTCGTTATCACGAATTTAATTCGTTATAACAAAATTTTCAATTCGTTATAACGAATTCAACAAATTTGTTATAACAGATTAAATTCGTTATAACGAATTCAAAGAAACTGTTATAACGAATTAAATTCGTTATAACAAACTTGAGAATTCGTTATATCGAATTCAAAAATATTTTTTGATAGGTCCTAAATGGGCTTCCGTATACATCTATGTAACATCACCAATTATTTTTTAAAAGAAAAAAAATTATTTTTGTGCATGTGTGCCTAATTTTTTACACAATCTTTTATGGAAAATTGTGTGTGATTCATTACCTGAGTAAAAATACTCATGCACCTGAGCCTCTGTAAATTTCTTGGAATGAAAAGCTTCTAGTGCTGCATCCCTCAACACTTTTTGTAAGCTGGTGAGGGTGGTGTTCCATTCTTTTGTATGTCTAGCACGATGTTCATCACATCCCGGGGAAAAGTCAGCAAAAAATGAAAACTGAGAGCTGATTGGCTGTAAATGAAACTATGCACAGTTATTTGGAGCATTTCCAAGGCAAGTATTCAAATTAAACTGATTCTCTGAGTTGAATATATAATACATATGCAAATACACATTCACTTCTTTATATATTTTGTTTGTAAGTGGCCATGTGCATTGAAAAAAATTGCCATAACTTCAAGTAAAACAATTTTCCCCATTTTTTTATCATAAACATATGTTCTCAAACAAATTAGAAATACCTGTAGAATATATTGTTGAGGTCTGCAATTTTCATCTAATTTATACCAAGTGTTGAGCAGTTTAATATCTAAATCTTTTGTTACGTATGATTGTATGACCTTGAAGTCATCTTGAAGTATCTCTGTAGGTATGGGCCGAAATCCATATCTATCTCCAATGATTGCCTGCTCATCAGAAACAAAATTAAAATTGAAAATGTGTTCAAAGAATCAAATTCAGTGAATTAACAAGATGAGATGAACATGTGTCATTTAGGATGCTCAATTACATGTTAATAATAAAGGAAGAGCACTTTGTTTAAATACCTTATACAATAAACTTCTGAAATCCCAATTTTTTTTTAAAAAGTTACCATTCAAATAAATATATATAGTATATGTATAAATAACAATCAGTGTTATCTTTTTTCTTGAATTTGCTAAATATATCAATCTTTATAAAAATAATTAAGTTTATTTTTTCCATCCCACCAAATTTCATCAAATACATGACTGTATTAGTTTGCAAACCTTTTATGTGCGAGTATGTTTTATGTTTCATGTACAATGATTGCTTAATATATTTCTGATATTTTACAGACAATCTACCACAAAGTTGGGTCCTAGTGACAACTTCTGACAGTTCTCTACTTCTTGAAGACAGATTTTCTCCACACTGTGGTCATTCTGAGAATCTTCTGTAATACCCCACCTCATATCCACCACCTGAAAATCTAGATCCTTGGACAAACATAGCTGTTTCAGCTTTGGAAAAACCTCACGGGATAAAATGTTTCTTTCTGCCCTCATGTCTACAAAAATGAAACATTGTATCTTTAATCAAAATTATTATACAATACAAAATCAAGATTGGAGGCCAGCACCATAGGGTAAAAATATGGAAGCATTCTGATGATTACTGCCACTGGTCAAAACAGGTAAACAAAATAAATTTACTTATACATTACTACAATGTGTTGGTGATCTGTTTATGTCTTTATATACATGTAAGTTCAAAATCATTATTGATAAGGCAATAAAAATTTGTAGAGTAGATTTGTACTAGTACATTTTGGGGTTGTATTGGAGAGAGAGAGAGGAAAAGAGAGAGAGATTACCTGAAAATGTTGAGCTGATAAAGATTCTGGCCACTGATCTTGGGAGGTTGGGGAGATTGTCCATGTTTCCCTGTAGCATTTGACGAAATTTGTCTTCTAAATCTTTGTTAAAATTCTCAGATTTACCTTCAAGTAGAAATCTTTGTATAAATTATGATGGATTATCTCAATGCTTATGTGTATCCAGGTAAATGTCCTAAATTTTTTTTAATGCAGTATTTAATATTCATAATCCAATTAAAAAGTATTGCACAATACTCTAGAAATATTCTGTGGTAAGTATACTTGTATATACATTCAATAAATTCATAAAATTCCATAAAATTTAAACTTTTTTGTCTTTTTTTTCCCACTTACTTTTCTGTTGATTTGTGACCACTGCCTTCTTAATGGAGGACCTATCAATATATAATTTAATACACAATTCCTAATCATTACAGAATCTCATTATCCATTTTAAACATTACATTTTTTTGCAATACATATAGCAATGTTTTTTTTCTTTCTTTTTCTTAACCAAGAAATTGCAGTCTTGATAAATCTCTGCTACAAATGTCTTTTGCTTTTTCTGAATTCAAAAAATTAACAGCCCTTTTTTCTTCCAAATTAGGAAATGAAATTCATTTGATGTATCAGATTTCTGAAATAAATATAAGAAATATATACTTTTGATTTCAAAATTTCTTTAGTTGGTGATAAGACAAAATATCCATTTTCAAGTTTAGCTTACCCCTTTTGTTGTAGTTTAACAGAATTAACATGGACATGCTTGACATTCTGCGACAAAAAAAAAATCACATTTAATTTACTATTTATTCAAAAGAAAGAAGTTATAAAACTTACATTCTTCAATTTAAACAACTATTATAAGTGCTGTGAAGCAAACTATTCTGTTAATACCTGGCAAGTATATTTCTCTAGCACCCTATATAGTAATCAATATTAATATCTGTCTTTTATTCAGGTATTAAATTTTGTACCTGTCTGGGGACATTAACTCTGTCTGCAAATGAGGACTGTCGCTTTGTTCCTTGGGAGGCCATTTTTTATGATTCACTCCTTCACTTTTAAGTGGTGAATTCTCAGGTTCACTTGCTAAAGAATATATCATTTTGAATATTTCACTCCAATATGGAATATTTGTATATGATAAAAGTAAATGTAAAATATGAAACCTTTACAGTTAGACTATACAGCATGCATACATAATTAATTGAGGTATAAGCAGATAAAAATGTTCAGGTCGTAACACATAAACCTGTGATCAAGTTAAGTAAATTCTATTAGTCGGAAAGTATATATACAATATATAACAGATAAATAAATCTTTGATGGTTCTTTAACCGACTTAAACAAATTTACATGAAAATAGAATTTTAGTAAAAATATACATAGTTAGTAATAGAAACATAAAATGAAACCATAAAAAATAAACTTTTAAAGGCTAAGAATAAGTATTCCCTATTAAGAAGTTGATGGCTCGTTTTAATACATGTACTCCCCCGCTTGAAAAAATACTGAGGTATCCCACATACTTACAAGGAATAGCACCATGATTGAATATGTTTCTCGTGAGCCCCGACAGCTTTAGACAAACAACCGCATTGTAATGATTGTTTACCTGAGAAACATTGTTTTTAAACTGGTTCTCTTTATAAAAAGTGCCAATCAAATCCGCTCGGAGAACCTCGAGTCCAATCGCAACTTCTCGGGCCTTTCCGACTAGCGGAAAAACCGACCTCGGCTGATTCCGTCGCCGTCAACAAACGTTTGATGAGGTATGAATCGGCTGAGGTGTGCCGAGTGAAACCGACCTCTTACGGAAAGACCCGAGATGATGCGATTGAAGCGGAGTCAGCCGAGGATTGCCGATTGCGCTCGTCTTTTCGGTTACGGAAATGGCCGAGTTAAGATTATTCAAGTGCTTGCACTCGGAAGGCAACATTCTAAGGGGTATTTCAAAATTTAAAGAAAGAAAACCGGGCTGCATTTAAAAAATATCATTTTTGGATATTGTCTGTCGTATAACAGCTTTTGATCGTGCAAACAAATTGAATACCGCGCGATATCGTGACTTTCAGGTGCACTGACCAACGACATCCTTAAATCAGAGACGTATAATAGATACGTCTCTGCTCAAATTAATATATATTTATAATAAAAAAGTTTCAATTAAACCCAGAATAAGTGAATAATATTAACTTTTTCTGGGTTTAATTGAAACTTTTTTATTTGCTATTGTGCTTATTCAATCTGCGGTAAATGGCTTAGAAAAGGTGAAACTAGCTGTAATTTCTTTCTAAAAGACAATTTAAAAAAAAAGATATAAGATTTTGTAAAATAAAAAAATAAAAAGAGAGAGAAAAGAGCTAACAACTAACGTGAAACAGACTTGTTTATTACATATATATATATATATATATATATATATATATATATATATATATATATATATATATATATATATATATATATATATATATATATATATATATATGACATAGATGAAGAATTATTTGATTGTAAAGACCTAAAATATTTTTTGAAGTTTGATACTTTCCCTATTAGCGACGTGCCCTTTCGGTAGCGTCGGGCTTTTTATAAAAGTCGGAAGAGCACTAGAAAACCCCGTCTCTTGGGTAAACAAAACATACATGATGAACTGCTAGATGATATATGCAGAAGTAAGTTAAAGTGAAAAGGTGTGTCCTGCATAAGAAACGGATAGTTCATTATTGATTGAGTGCAAATAGATTGATAACCCGTAAACAAGACGGATCCTGAACCATTGTTTCGAATTTCCTCTAACTTTAACACATCATGTGTTCTGTTAGGAAATATTATATTACACACATGCATTGCAAAGTTGCCATTTAATAGAAATTTTCAATACGGATTCAATAAAAAATCTTATATTATTATAATATTACATTAAAACTCACGTTGTACAATTCATTTAACACCATTACTATATAATGGTATAATGGTTTGGGCTGCGAGTTTAATAGCAGCCCGGATAGATCAGTAGGTAGAGCACCTGACTAGTGATGCAGGGGTCATGGATTCAATTCCCGGTCCAGCTGTACATTTTCTTCTCTCCTGTTACATAATTCAGTGCCATTGACCACTCCTTGACTAGCAGGTGAAAGTCCTGCCAGGAGCAAAAAGACTAATTATGTAAAGGAAAAGAGAAAATGTAGGGCTACACTGGGAATCGAGCCCAGGACACCTGCATCAATACTTACTGAACTACTCACAGCCCAAACCATTTCTTTGGTATTGAAATATCATACATATGTAGATATTTTTTAACAAAGATATAATATTAAGGATGATTTTGTTAGTATAGGTGCATAAAAGTATCCAATCTCTATCCAGTGTTATTGTTCCACTTATACCTCTGTCAACGTCTAAAAAGTAGTATGGAAGGCGGAGACGCGTGGCATTTATCACAGGAAGATTAACAAGCGTATAACCTTCACTTTTCTGCATATGTGTCAATGCTGCAAGTTGTTTGTCTTTAAAACTAAACCATGTTGATATTTGTCGGCAATGCATTTTAAATTTTCCGCGTTCTTCATACCTGTCTACATGAGTGATGCAATATCCCCCCAAGAAATAATCCCTTGTAAGATACGGTGTTACAGATACATCTCTTTCTAATTTTCATACATAAACTTTTCTTTAAATTTTAAAGCTAAAATATATAACTTTAAAATTTATAATTTGTTATGCAATAGGTCAGGGTAAGTTTTGCCAAGAATCTTGGCATTTAGATGTTAACAGAGGTGTTGTAGCGAAGCGTAATACGCCCTCTGGTGAGAGATTGAAAAGTATCAGGGTTGCAAGACAATATCATTTTAATGATAGTTAGAGTACATTATTACTTTATCTGCAGTATTTTAATACAATAAGATACACTGTATCAAGTTGATGCTTTTATTGATATGTAATATATGCATGCTTCATTAATAAATAAGTGACTCAAAGTATTTTTGTAGGTATAGCTTGGGAAACTAGTTCTGCATAATTATGCAAAGGGGAGGTAAGATTTATCTTTTACACACATCACCATGGAATGAACTGTTAAAAATTATACTTTAATCCCTCCATACTGTAAACACATCTAATTGATGGGTTGTTTGTGCTATTAGTGACAGTTAATATTGCACAATTACACGGTATTGCTGTTTTTGAGATCAATACATAATTTAGCCACACTCAAAGTACAATCTTCACCTTACCCTTTGGGCTGGGTAAATATTGCACTCCTTTGGTGGCCAAATTATTGTATTGACTTCAGAAAAAACAGCAATGATTATTATTTTTTATGATTTGATGCTTAAATGAAACAAACTCGTGAAGCAAACCATGAAACCTTTCTTGATAGTTTACATAAATTTTGCTGAAGTCCTAGCAAAACACAAGGAGAAAAACCTGGTCAAAATAAACATAACCAGTTGTCTTAAAGGGGCTGGGAGACACATATTTGAAGGTCATATTTTCTAAAATTTTCTAATTAATAATATTATGACTTATATGTTGCTAGAGCATTTCACCCTGAAATATACTGAATTGAGTGTGTAAAGAAAATTCTTTTATCTGAAAATTATTTAACTACAATTTTCAGTTTGCTTTTGATTGACACATATCCTTGCACTTCAGCAAAGTAAACTTTATCCATAATACTTATAAAAGTTGAAATTTTGTTGTGTATTAATGAAAAATATGAAAACTATAATCCAGAAAGTTCAGAGCAGAAATGCAAGAAAGCAAAACCAACTCACCAGTATTGTCAGTCCGTGCTCAGTGATGTGTGCAGACTAAATACTGAATAATTGAACACACCAGTTAAAATGTAAATACTAAAAATAACAGAGCTCATGTTATGTTCACTTGAGTGGAAGTTGTGAATTTTTTCATAACTTATTCAATTATATAAATTAAGATGTTCTCAGTCAATCTTTAGTCTAGTGTAAATTCTTCTGTTAATTCTCTTGAAGGTGAATATAACATATAGTATTTTTCCTACAATTTTTTGATCTCATTCAATCAGAAAAATTGGAATTATTTAATCATCTAATAATCAAATTATTAGTATTATTTTAATTTTTTCCTGAATAATTTAAGTTATTTTTCTCTGTTTTTGTTCATTAGAATGTGAGTTACTGTATACAGGGTTATTTTTGCCCCATGTTATTTTGCCCTTTCACACTTACATTTTGTCATATTATTTTATATTATTTTATATAGTATATATATAATTAATATTATTAGCTTCTTGTTTGTTTTTATTTCATCTTGTTTGATACTATAGCTAAATTTATTTTACATACTGCATGTATGAAAGTTTTACATGTACCTCCCTTTGATCTCTAAATTGTCAAATTCATTTTCTTGCTTCTTATTTGAAAGCCAAATCAAACAAACCAGGACCTGCAAGACAGTCATCCTTTACACTTGTGAGTACCATCTTTGTATCATTACTTTATTTCATTTCAAAGTGTATTTAAAAGTGTATCTTTGTTTTAATAATTTAGATTTCTTTTGAAGAAATTCTTTTTGATTAAATAGAGGCATATTTGGATTTAAAAAAAGGTTAAACTACAATCATCTTTGGAGTGTTATATTTTATAATGTTTAAAAATTGCTTATATATTCTGTACATAAAAAACCCTTTTTAAAAATAATAATCAATTTTTTTATAAAGTAAACTTGAAGAAATATTTGACTAATCCTGGATTCTTTTCATTTTATACCATGAAATCACTAATTTTCATGGGGTTTAATTTTCACTGTTTTCGAGGTATTGAGATGCCCATGAATTCATGTCCACCATGAAATGTAAAATCTCACATACCTTAATACTTCTCCAACCATGAAATTAAATCCCCTCAATCCAATATTTGTTTCTCAAACTTCAAATATTTCAGCCCTTCCCTACAGTTAACATGTATTTAACTGTAAGTCTAACAAAGTTAATGCCTGTTTAAAGCCCAACTATTTATAAAAAAAAAAAAAAAAAAAACTGTAATACATGTAAACTGTAGTACCATATTTGAATGAGTCAAATCAGCTCCCAACAAAACAGACCTGTAGCAAGGGTTTCAAAAGTGGGGAAATTGACAAGCAAAATAAAAAAAACTAAACCCACAAAAAAGGGGGACCTATTTCCCAAAATAATCTGATAACCAAAAAAAAAAAAAATAAATAAATAAATAAATAAATAAATTAAAAAAATTTCAGAAGCCCATTTAGGACCTATCAAAAAATATTTTCATATTATCAAAAAACAGTTTTAAAAACCCTTTTACTGCCAACCTTAAATCATATTTTTGCATCTCTCCCAAATCCCTCTGAAATACAAATAAAAGAATTAGAAAAGATTTTCTATACATTTGTAATGGGTAGTAATAATTCAAGACTGAAAAGGAAAATTTGTATAATGAATTATAAGGAAGGGGGCTTCAAGATGATCAGTGTAAGAGAGTTCATTATGTCCTTAAAACTAGTATGGATGAAAAAATTGTTACTACAGGACAATGGGTTGGATTCTTTTTTAGATGTTGACATTAAAAAACTTGTATACTGTGGGCAAGAGTATGTTGTCAAAAAAAAAGAATGATTTAAAAAATATATTTTGGAGGGATGTGTTGCAAGCATGGTTAAGCTTTTGTGACAAATCATTACAAAATGACACACTTTTTTCTTTAGAACCATTATTTCTAAACAAAAATTTAATTATTAATAAAAAGCCATTTTTCTATAGGAGATGGTTTTCATGTAATATTTCATGTATTAGTGATATACTTTATGAAGATGGGTCATTTATGAGTTTGAATGACCTGAATGCGAAATATGGGATAAAAACACATTTTCTTGAATATAATGGCCTTAAAGCAGCAATATTAGAATGGCTGAGAAAGATAAACAGAGATCCTAATAATTTGTTAAAGGTAACTTATCCATACATTCCAGAGAATGTTAATTCTCTGCTGAATGCCAAAAAATCACATGATTTTTATTAAATATTAATCAGACAAATAATTGAACCTTTGGGTAAAACCTCTTGGAATAGAGTCTTTGACTTGAGCAATGGTGAATGGGAGAAATTTTTTTTACTCCCATTCAAAATTACAAAAAACACAAAACTTCAGTGGTTCCAATTTAGAATAAATCATAAAATACTAGCAACAAATTCCTTCCTGCATAAAATTAATAAAATTGACAGTAATATATGTACTCTTTGTAAAATAGAAACTGAAACAATTGAACACCTGTTGTGGGAATGTGAACATGTTCAGGCTCTTTTAGAGAATTTTGCAAAGTACTGTTTTGATAGAATCCACTCTACTATAACTTTCTCAAAAAGGAATTTTTACTAGCCTCTGTGAAGAAAACTGACAAGCTTAAAAATATTATTGCTCTACAAATCAAATATTACATTTATCTGTACAAATGTACAAACAGAAACATTTCCTTAGGTCGGTTGATATCCTTTATTAAGACAATGTATGAACTACAAAAATATATATCTTATAAAAATAATGAAAGAGAATCTTTTGATGAAAGCTGGAGACTTTTGAAAGACTTATTTTCATAATCCTCTCTCTCCCCCCTCTCTCTTTCTCCCCCCCTCTCTCCCTCTCTTTCTCTCTCTCTCATTGTTCTTTTTTGTAAAAGAAACCTTTGAAAATGCAATAAACTATTAAAAAAAAATAAATTTTTTTTGAATTTGATATAACGAACTGTCAAATTTGTTATAATTCGTTGGAACAATTTCCTTGAATTTGGTATAACAAATCAAATTCATTGAAACAAACTCTAAAATTTGATTTAATAAATTAAATTCATTTAAACAAATTCTAGAATTTGTTATTAAGAATTAAATTCGTAAACAAATTCACCAATCAGGGCCTGTAGAAAAATAAATATGCATTCAAGGTAATGATTAGTCGAATTCCTTTAAACAATTTAATTCATTATAACAAATTAAAGAATTCAATTTAACAAATTTAATTCGTTCAATTTCTTTAAATTCTTATAACGGATCTAATTTGTTTTAATAAAATTTTGAATTCGTTATAACGAATTCAACAAATTTGTTATAACGAATAAAATTTGACAATTCGTTATATCGAATTCAAAAATATTTTTGATAGGTCCTAAATGGGCTTCCGTAAAAAAAAATAAAAAATAAAAAAGCTAATTAACTGTCCAAATCATGGAATTTGCCAGTGCTCGTTCTTACAGGAATAAAAATTGGGGGGGGGGGGGGGGGGACCAGCATCTAAAGCAAAATTTACTATAGCAAAATATCAATAAAATTCATTTTAACAAATTTGACAATTCGTTATATCAAATTCAAAAATATTTTTGATAGGTCCTAAATGGGCTTCTGTAAAAAACAAAATTTAAAATACTAATTTATATCTGTCCAAATCATGGAATTTGATAGTGCTTGTTCTTACAGGAACAAAAAGGTTGGGGGGCAAAATGCTATCCCCCCATTCTACGGGCCTGCAAAATTGTGCAATTCTAACAAATCACAAAAATTAGACCTGGTAAATAAAACAAAGTTTTTCGAATGAAGGATGCATTGGGTGCTCTAACACCCCCCTCCCATTCCCCATCATTAACACAAATTTAAAAAAATATTATTTTGAAACAAAATAAATTCATTATTCATCTCGTAATAATGCTAGATTTTGTTTTTGAAAGAATGACTTCCAGAATATATGACAAAACCACTAAAATTGTACTCCTAGACCTTATTAAAAATCAAGACTTTCCTCAGCACCCCCTTTCCAGAAACCTAGTGACAACCTTGCAAACATTTCCACACTTGGACGGTTTATAGCAAAAATTAATATTTTTTCTATCATTTTAGGAAGCAGGAAATAAACCCTTTGCACCTAGAAGTGCAGTGTTGCAGAAAGGAAAAGCCAATCCGTATGTGTCTTTGATATCAACATTGTATCAATTTAAAAAAAAAGTTTTTTTAAGTTTAGGGGATTTGGCAATATATAAAAAAGACTTTATGCAAAGAGATCAGAGGCTAAGGTCATTCCTTTGAAAAGATCAAAGGCCAATGGAATTTTCTATTGGGAATATCTTGACTCCATAATGGAGAAATTATGATTTAGTAGATTATCACTATCAAGTTTTAAAAGTATGTATACATGAACTCAAGATGGAATTTCTTAAAATATCCAAGATATCTTCAAAATGTGCAGGTAGTTTTATTTTCAAGGTTATTTCATCTTTTTTACTGTCACACTCTATAAGTTTTCATTGCAGGTAATATTTTCTATTTTCATTTGACAGATTCCATATCAAATCGCAAAAAGAAAATACAGCTAATGTCAAAAGTGAGTCACAGGTTTCTCTGATAACAGAATCAACTAGTTGATACTCTTATATCTACCGCCAAGTCAGTGATTCCTATCAATATTAACAATTATGAAAAAATCACCTTCTTTTCATCAGCAATTTTTGAGTATAGAACTTAAAAGTGTTACAAAACCTCAGTGGTATTCTTGTGTAGACTGTCTGCATTTTTTACTGAAATGATAATCAAAAACAAGACCCTAATCCTTCTCATTTTGCTGTCTTTTATTGGTTTCATTGAGATAAACTATGTCTATTAAAAATCTGAGCATAAGTTTGTGATGTAATTAGCATTAAAGTATATAAAAGGAAAAGGATACTAAATACTATGTACCAACTGTCACTGTTACCGATAGTTGGGATCTTTTAATTAGTACGTAAAAGTCTGGTTGTTGATACTTAAAATAAAATTCTTGATATTCAACAAAACATAGCAATTCAACTGTTAAGAGACACAATGGTATATTCTTTTTTTAACACAGTGAAATGAGAATACTGTAACACATATTTAAGAGAATTTATATTCTTATCCATTGTATTTGATCTGATTTGATATACTGAGTCTTAGGTCAGAACCATGCAATATTGCAGCAAAACCCAGATCTATTTTTATGATTTTAAGGTGTAGACCATAATGAGAAACACCTGGAATTAGGGTTGGGACGATATATTAAGATATCGATAATATCGATTCTGTGTGAGGACGATACACATATCGATACGTATGAAGACATATCAAAATATCGCAAAAAAATTCCGACTTATGTTTTTTGTTGTTTACTTAACATTTTTGGTTTAATTTATAATATAAATATGCTAAATATGAAATACATAATAATTAACACCACTTGTGGAAAATAATTTTGTTTTACAACAGATATCCAACTTCTTTGAATAAATTATTCTTGTTTTTGAAGAAATGTTTAATTCATTTCAATACAAAAAAAGACATTTTATATCCAATTCAACATACATATCGTATCGTGGCTCAATATCAATATCATGATACGTATCGATATAGAAAAAGTTGTAACATCCCAGCGCTACCTGGAATGTATATAATGTGACCCCCCTCCCCCTTTGAAAACAGGGAAAATACTACACCTATGATGATGATTTTCATCATTATTTTTTTTTGGCATTTAGTAAATGCTTCATTTAAAAGAAACCTTTAAGAGTGTCCTCATGAAAACTTAATTATCTGCAATCAACTGCCCTTCTGATTCTTGGATTAACTACAGTTGTACTCAAGTATCTCAAACACTGATATCTCAAATACCATGGATATGTCGGAGTGTTTTAGAAGTCCCAACCTCATATTCTTTAAGTATTTCACCCTGGATATCTTGAATCCTCAGATATCTTGAAGTTTTTTCTTGGTCACATTGAGTTCGAGAGGTTTGACTGTATATGCCCTTTTTAAGTCTAGAAAATAAAACTCAGTTTCAAAAAACAGTTTAAAGAGCTTGTGCCTAAAAGAACTGGCCTGGCTCCAAATAATTAGCATTAGCGTGTAAATCGTTTTTGCCAGGAGCCAACTGGCACCTAAATTATAAAGGTCACTTTTAGGCCTGCAGGCATCAATTTGGCTATTCCAATGAAGTCTTCCTAAGCAATTCTATTGTCAGGAAGAATCAAATAAATGTCCCATAAGTCAGATATGTGAAGTCTTATGGACTACATTATCCATACATTTTATAGATGATGGAAAACAAGATCAGAATTGTGCCAAAGAAACAGAGGCCATATTTGACAAGATGCTGCAAGGGAAGATTGATAATCTTCCTCATCTTCCAAGATCAGTTGTCAGAATATTTATCAGCTCAACATTTTCAGGTAAGAAAAAAAATCTGTTTGTATTTTAATGATGTGAAATGTGTAGATTTGTATTCTGTAAAATAGTGTATATTTATTGTAACAGTTGAAATCAAATTTTAAATTTATTTTCTGTATTTCAAATAGATAATTCACTTCATTATTAAATCTCTTTCATATCATGTGATTCTTAGACATGAGGGCAGAGAGGAACATCTTGTCCCATGAGGTTTTTCCAAAGCTAAAACAGCTATGTTTGTCCAAGGACCTAGATTTTCAGGTGGTGGATATGAGGTGGGGTGTTACAGAAGATTCCCAGAATGACCACAGTGTGGAGAAAATCTGTCTTCAAGAAGTAGAGAACTGTCAGAAGTTGTCACTAGGACCCAACTTTGTGGTATGTGTACAATATTAGTCTAAAGTCTCTGCATTAAAATTCATGCATCCAGTAGTACTCAACATCAGATTTCTACATATCAACACTAGCTTTTATTTCACAGAGAGAATAGAAGGTACAATAGGACTCCCTGTTGACCCCCAAACCTTGATAACATTAAACCTGCCATTGTTCTATGGTATAACTTGAAAGTCATATATGGCATATTTTTGATATTAAGTTCAGACTACTAGTAACTAAAATTAAAAAGATCTTTCTATTTTTTTTTTATTACTGTATATAAAGATAGGACTTTCCTGTAAATTACACACTTTAAATCACATTTCATAGATATTAGAAATTGAAAACAATAACCAATTTATTTACCGACTCAGCTTTTAAATATCAGACACAGTGTAAAGTCAATTTAACTATAGAAACTGAGATTATTCAAGTTCAAAATCGGTGAACATTTTAATTTGAACGTAAATAACAAATATCATGTTCATCTACACTCAATCTCGTATTTTTATTTTTTTTTTTAGCTCAGATACGCCATATATAACTTTGAACAAATAAAAAAGTAAATGCAAATCAATATTCTAAAATGCTACAGGACCTTTTTGTTATTACCGGAAGTTTAAAAAATAGCATATTCCTTGTGTTTTTAGAGAGAAAAAACATGAAAAGGGCCCAATTTACATCGTTTTTTTCATAAGAAATATGTGTGCACATGCTTCCAGCTGCAACAAGTTTTTGTACACTGTCATGTCATTTCATGATGTGAACAAGAATATCTTTGTTCTTAACTAATTTCCCTACTGGAAATCTAACACATTTTGATTTTGCATCATTTGCAATCATTTTTTGTACAACTGTACTTATGGTAAAATCAATGCTTATTGTTCGTATTTGAATATTCTATTTTTCAACAAACAGAATTCATATTCACTCCAATAGTAAAAGATACATATAATTAAACCAATAAAGGTCAAGGTTATTGTGACAGCTAGGTTTAAAACTGACTTGATATCTCACACAATGTTTTTCACAAAGTTAAAGTACATTGATATCGACTCAAGGTAGTATTTCAAAGGTGATCATTGAGTTACATTTTGTCAATATTTTTTAAAATTATTTTTAATTAAATTATTAAATGGGTTCATCTGTCTGTCTGCCCATTTGTGTGTAACACTTATTTCCAGACAGTATCTCAAAAAACCTTTGAGTTTTTGCAATGAAATTTAATTTCACAACCCCCTACGCCTTAAAAAGACCCCATTGATATTTGAGATCAAAGGTCAAAGGTTAATGTGAGAAACTTATACACTCCAAAAATAGTGATAACTTTAGTTCTCTTTGAGCTTTCTCAATAAAGTTATATATCATAATGCCTAGTGACTTAACAAAGAATCCAATTTATCTTTAGGACAAAAGGTCAAAGGTGAAGGTTAAAAATTCATACAAAAAAAAAAGGTTTTTTCGATAATAACTTAAGTTTTCCATGAACTTTTCCTATGAAATTTTATATAATAGGTCCCAATGACTTAAAGACCCCTTTTTATATTTTGGGTCAAAAATTCATATTTTGCATAAAATGGCTTCTTGGTGATAACTCTAGTTCTCTTTGAGGCTTAGCAATGAAATTTAAACCTTTAGTCAATATGACATAAAAATTCGCCTATTGATTTTGAGGTCAAAAGCTCAAAGACCAATTTCAGTAATTGATGATTACTTTAGTTCTCTGTAAGCTTTTGCAATGAAACTTAAGGTCATGGATTTGTTTAACCTTAAAAAAGACACCTATTGACTTTAAGGCCAGAAGCTTAAAAGTCAAGTTTGACTTTTTTTCTTCTCCGTGTGCATATTTTTTTTCATTTCTTCCATCCTCTTTTTTTCTCTCATGTAAGGAATACAAAGTCTCTGAATTAGCTTGTTTAAGCTACAAATGAAATCATTAGAGTAGTTGTTCATGTAAAATTAGTGTGACAGTGTATTTTTATTCGTTTGTTTAAATTGGGATCAGTGTATTTAACTTAATAATTCTTTGAAGAAGAGTATCCTTTATCATCCATTAGTTGTATTAAATTACCAATAAATGAACTAAATTACTTGATTGAACAAAGTGATTCTCTAATGGTTAGGTAAAAAGCATAGAAAAATTGATGCAAAATGATAATTTTCATTCATCTTTGTCCTATTACTCATATCTCATAGGCCATCATGGGTGACAGATATGGCTTCCGCCCAATTCCCACGGAAATCAGTGAGGAGATTTTTCAGACTCTGAGAGAATCGGCTGAGAGGATTGCTAAAAAACCCCATGCTGTCAAACTTCTTGAGACATGGTACAAACTAGATGAGAATTGCTTGCCTCCAATGTATATACTTCAGGTACTTCCTACTTTGTGAAAATGTTGCAAGTAATGTACTGATATGCAATATTGTTCACTTTCATAAAAATTCCATTTCCATGTAGTTTATGTATCTATTTATATTATCTGTGCTTACCCTCTAGATTCATAACAATTATATATACTTTTAAAAGTAATTTGATGTTTTCTCTATAGATCTTTAAATATATTTTGAATTTTAAAATTGTTTTCAGCCAATCAGATCTCAGTTTTCATTCTTTGGGGACTACTCACCAGGATGTGATGAACCTCGAGCTAAACATACTCAGGAGTGGGAGAAAACATTTGCAGATTTGAGGGACATTCTGAAAGTTGCTGCTTTGTTTTCACATCAAGCAAAAAAACTAACAGATAATCAACTGCATGAATTCTACATGTCAGGTATATATCATGATTAGATTTTAAAGGCAGAGAAAATAAGCACCTGCTTCAAATTTGCCTGGTCTATGGACCCCAGTCAATCAAGCAAATTAAGGTCCAGGATTGATCACCAGAAATCAAGTGACGTTTAGTTCCTAATCTCCGTGTATATCTTGTATACCCCTGGGTACCTTGTCTGGGGCTTGTTTCCATCGTCAAATTAATTTTCGGTCTTTTGCTGATTACCACATATACCAGTGTGACAAAGACACTATTGATATGAAAATTAACGGCTTGGCATAAACGGTCACTGTAGTATGTAAAATCATTTTGTATAATAATACAATTAATGATAATAAATCATGCTTATAATTTTTTAAAGCAAATTTCGATTCAAATTATAATTGATCCTTATGGTTGTCTTAACCACACGTACACATCGATTTTAAGCCAAACTGAAAGTGCTGACACTCAATAAAACCATCATTATCATATTTTTATTATTTGTAATTAAGATTTTATTCGATAGAAAATGTAGAGGCGTCACTTTAAATTTCTCCAAGACATGGTGAAAAAATTGCTATAAACTAATCAGTGGCCAAAACGACCGTAATACGCAAGAACATGAGAATGTCAATAAATATGCTTTTGATGACAATATACATGAACATAAAATCTTTAGCTATGTGCAAGGCATAAGAAATATCAATCTATGTTTAAATAAATATTAGATTAGAATTAAGATTTAAAAAGTCTGAATAAGAAAGCCTTTTATATGAAGTAAATTATTCTCAAATCTTTCATTTAAAGTGACAGAGATAGAGATTGAAAAGGGAATTTTAGAGGCAAAATCTCCAGGCCAGAGTGCTGTTGTATTCCATCGAGAAATCCAAGGTTTTACAAACTATGAAGACAGAATGACAAAACGACACATTGACACCACTGTTGAGAATGAAAAGGTAGCTAAATCAGGGATCCACATGGGATTTTTTTTTTTAAAGAAAAGGAGTGTGAACAATATGAAAGTTGGGGGAGTAAATTGAATTTCGTTGATTAAAAAAAACATTATTACACTTTAAAAAGGTTGAAGCTAGGTGTTTACATTTTTGGGATGAGAACGAAGTTATGAAACGCATTACTATTCTGTATTAATTTTATGGGCAAAACATATGCAAGAAATCCACAAGCATTGGACCTTGAAGAATTTGTAGAAAAAAAATTAAGTGATAAATGATCAAGAAATATTTGCACCCAATGAATTAAAGTTGGGTAGGATGAAAAATAAATGTATCTTTTGAAAATGTATATGTTTTAGGCTGTTCCTGATAAAGAAGTCAAGTATCTTCAAGGAAAATTGGAGGAAAAAGTGAGGCAAAAAATTGAGCCAAATTATTTCCATGAATACACTGTAAAGTGGTTGCCAAATGGCATTGACCCCAAAGCATCGGAAGACCACAAAAAATACCTTGACAATTTCTGTGAGGACTTCTACAATGATTTAAAAAGCCAGATAGAAGCTGCTGATGATGAGCGAGATTCTCGGGCAAAAGTTTTTCATAAAATTGGCTATTACAGTGATTACAACGAGGTACTCCATCACTTGCATTTCTGTGACATGAAATGCCAGACATTCTGTGGACAGGAGAACATTATGGACAGGGTTAAAAAGTACATTTTGGATGGTACAGTGAGAAAGCCTTTTGTCATCTATGCTCCCTCTGGAAATGGAAAGACATCTGTAATGGCTATGATCATGCAGAGCCTGCCTGAGTGGTTCAAGAATAAACCACACATTAGAATTATCCGCTTCTTGGGCACTTCTGCTCTGACTCTGAATATTTATGATGTGCTGTTTAGTGTGTGTGGACAACTTGCTGATGTTGCACAGCAGATCATGGAACCTGTAGGATACAAAAGTATGAAGAATATCCAAGAATACATGCCCAGGTTTTGGCGAAGGATAGGAAATTCTGTAAAGAAGCCAATTGTTATTCTTTTGGATTCTCTTGATCAGCTTTCGCCTACACACCATGCTTATGAACTACAATGGTTGCCAACTACACTGCCACAGAATATCAAACTTGTGGTGTCCACCCTTCCCAAGGAACATGGGATACTTGATAACTTGAGAGCTTTGCTACCAGATGAGAAATGTTATGTGGAAATTCCCAAGCTTCCCCGAGAAACTGGTGTTGCAATTATAAACAAATTTCTGTCAAAGCACAAGAAAAAAATAACAGAGAGACAAGAAAAGGTTTTGATAAACAGCTTTTCAAAATGTCCTGGACCTTTGTTCCTTAAACTCATTCTAGATGAGGCACTGAAATGGAGATCTTATACTCTGCCTCATTTGGTAGAACTAGAGCAGACAGTTCAAGGAGCCATTAATAAACTCTTTGACAATCTTGAGATTAAATTTGGCAAGATCATTACCAGTCATGCGCTAGGTTACATCACCATAGCAAGAGACGGTATCTCTGAAAATGAGCTGGAGGATGTTTTGTCATGTGATGATGAAGCTTTAGATGATGTTTATCGTTACCACAACCCACCAGTAGAGGGCATTGTTAGAATACCGCCTGTTCTGGCTGCTAGGATAAGATATGACATAAAGGACTACATTGTGGAGAGAATGTCTTCTGACAAGTATACCATGAACTGGTACCACAGGCAATTTATTGAAACAGCTAAAAGCAGGTATGCTACAGGATCACTTGGGGAAAAGCTGCATCGGAATTTGGTAGAGATTTTTATGTATGAAGATGGAGTAAAAAGGGACATAACTCTTTCAAGAAGAAAACTGACAGTCACAAATGCAGACAGACAGATTACCCCACAACCAGTTACCTGTAAAAACAAACGAATGTTGCGATGCCTTCCTTACCACATTATCCATGCTGGAAAGGCTCTGCCTGAACAATTAGCAAAAGAAAATTGTTTTTGTAATTTCAAATTCCTTGGTAGTAAATTATCTGCTGGCAGTGTGGAAACAATCGTGGATGAGTTGTATGAATACCTGGAAAACCAAGAAGATGAAGAAATCAAGAAACTCAGAAATTTTTTGTCCTTGACCAAGGCTGACTTATCAAAGCCCAGCAGACTTGCAGCCAATTTGCTGTCCTACATTAATGCTGATGTAGATGAGCCCTATCTTAAGAAGTTAAAAGAACAAGCAACCAGTTACTTAGAAAATCTTGACAGCCCTGGACTGATACCAGTTTATCCTGGACTGGCACCTAGGAAAGATCTCTCTTCATCTCTTATTCATTCTTACAATGGAATAGCTGAAATAATAAGCCACAGTGGAGATTCCGTTTTAGTCAAGACTTACAGGAAAGGAAATGAAGAGGAACAAGATTTTCCACATGAAATGTTCCACATTGGCACCCAAGACCTCCAGCAAGTAAATATTCCAGACATCAAACAGACAAAGCATTATCCAATCCTAGACAAAGCAGGGGAAAATGTCATCTATACCTCAGATGATTCCATCACTCTGTTTCACCTTGTTAGTGGGAACCGTGTCACCAAACTCTTCAGAGATATTACTGATGATCCATCTAAAAACCAAATGGTTTCCAAGGTGATGAGCACAGACACTCGTCATGTAGCTATTTTGTTAGATGACGGAGACGTTTTATTACTGGACAGTGACAGTCTGATGCAGGTTGATAGGTGGACTCTAAAAGATGAAGTGGAGGATGTTATGGGAATTCTGTGTACAAAAAGTGACAATCTACAGCTGCTAGTGGCTGTTAATTCAGAGTCTGCTGGTTCCAAAAAAAGTGAGCTCCAGCTGTACAAACCTGGAGAAAATGAACCAAAACATTATCTTTTTAATTATCCATTGTGTAATGGTCTTCTAGGGTTGTCATACAAGGAGTCTTACTTTACTGCTGTTGCAAAAGATGGAATCTCATCAAAAATTTTGACTGTTGACATAAACCAGGCAGAAGAAATGGCTCCAATTGCTATTGAAGATTGCATAGAAAAGATAGCATTTTCAAAATCTAAAGCATTTGCCTGTGTCTTGAACAGCACAGGTAAAGTGACTGCCCTGGATTTACAGAAGAGTGAGGTCTTATTCCACATGGTGACTGACAAACCAGTCACATACTTCGGAATTAGAGGCACATACTCCATTGTGCTTCTTGGTGATAATGAAGGACATGTTACACTATACAGTTCCAAAACAGGAATCAGCTATGGTAGTTTTCAAGCATATGGAGGGGCTGTGGAGAAAATGTATGTTTTGGATGATTACTTAGTTACTCAAGGTCAAAATGAGATGAAG